CTTCTCCTGCAACCGGGGTTAACGAAAAAAAATCACGTCTATGGTTGAACGACCACTTCGGAAGCATCACTGGGCTTCTGGGTAGATGTGGCTAGTCAGACTCTGCAGGCTTGCATAACATACGGCCCGTGGGCCACATGCGGCCCGCCAGCATCCACTTTGCGGAACGCGAAGTAACGAAATATTCTTTATTATTATTTTCTTAATAACTTCCCCCCTCCCCCCGGTCCTATTTTCTTTCGGTCCGCATAAGTTTTTCATAAAGCATTATGACTTGCCTTAGATTTTGAGTTGTGCAGGCCTGGTTTAAGGGTACATCGGACAAAATTTTGTTTGCAAATAAGCCAAAACGAGAAATTCCTCGGTCATTATTACAATCCCTACGGTCACCTTTTTGTGTGTACAATGTTATGATGTTGGCGTCTCTCATGTCCTGGGGAACATGTCCTGCTTCCCAGCTGGCGTCTCTCATGTCCTGGGGAACATGTCCTGCTTCCCAATACACAAATTAGATGTGTATCATATATATATATATATATATATATAAATATATAAAACTCCAACAAATGCCATATAACCCACTATAATCAAAGCTATTAGGAGTCCAAAAGCCAAGGAGAGAAAGTCCTCGGTAATTATTACAACTGCTACGGTCTCCTTCATTTTTTTATAATGTTACGATGTTTGCGTCTCTCGTGTCCTGGGGAAACTGACCTGCTTCTCAACACAGACGTTCTATTATATCAAATTTAGCCATTATTTTTACAGGCTACTATAGTGAAAGCTATTAACTTAAAATTTAGAGAGAGTGTCGAGGACGACAAAGAACCATTTCATAGTGACTTCGAGAACACAAAATACTATTCTAAGATACGTATTCTTTTTAGTTCAGGAACAAAACAACTTAATTCCAATATAATTTTCTGGGTTTTATTAGTTTATTTTTCCAAATAGGCTGTAGGCTGTTGTACGAAATATACTGAATATCTCATATTTATTGCATCGAGCAACAATTAGTTAAAGAAAATATTCTTTAACTTTAAAACAAATCCTACAATTCCTTATGATTAGCCTGTATTATTGCCATTTTCAGGCAGTTTCCAATACATCAATCTTTCTGTCTGTCTGTCTGTCTCTCTCTCTCTCTCTCTCTCTCATATATATATTATATATATATGTATATGTATATATTTATATGTAATTTTAATACATATATAAGCTAAGATTCACCCCTATCACCTTAGCAGCGATTCAAGCTATTAAGTTTTTGAAAAGCAAGACCACCTCCCCCCCCCGCTCTTTTTTTTTCCAACCTAGAAAATGTGCCTTCATTTGAAAGCGTGGAAATTGCAGTGAATTTTACGATTAGAGAATTTTATATTCACTTCAAAAGATAATTTAAATCATGATTTGAGCAATTGAATTTAAAGAATTATTTATTTGCCAATTATTTAATACACAATGTCATTATTAGTTATTGGATCACACTGACCTAGTGTACATGGTATGTTGTACAGTTGAGTAAATGAACTGTGTGGTGTACAGTTGAGTAAATGGACTGTGTGGTGTACAAGTACAAGGTATGTGGTATATATATAAATACTGGTGTAAATGGTATGTGGTGTACATGGACTGTGGTGTACATGGCCTGGAAGTCAGACCTTATCTTTGCTTGAAATTTTTTTTTAAAATTACAAAATAACCAGTGGAGCTTTGAAACCAACTGAAAAATTTGAACCTAAACTGAATTTCATATTATGCACTAGCATTTTTAAAACTCCATTGGAACTATGGGCAACAACTTATTGCTCATCTTTTTAAAAAATACATGTAACACGATGAATAGAAAAGGCAAAATTTGAAGATACAAAAAAAAAAAAAAAATTAAAGAAATAATCATTTTGTTGATCTTTGGATTTTTCTGAGAGATATCAAGAGGCTTTAAGCAATGAGATATAACTCATTTCTAAAACAGCATTTTGAGATATCATGAAGTTTTCACTCACAAAATATACAAGGGAACACAAGCAGTAAAAGGTAATACAAATAATATGATATGGAAACTTACATGGCTGAGATATAAATCACATTGGTAAATGATACCAGTCTCCACAAAAAAGCACCTGACAAGAAAATGCGTAAAATGTTTGGATACACAAAATCAAATTATATAACCCTGCAATTAAAATAATTAAACAAAAAAGAGTGGTTTAAAAGAAAACTATTTAACAAAGAATGCCTTGTCAAGTTTGGAAATTGGAGAATATAAAGAAGATAATTATGTTTTTTAGCATATTTAATGCAAATTTTATATGGAAAATGAAATTTAAGCTGGATGAAAAAAAACACATGCCATAAAAATAACTTTATATAATATTAATTAATTACATTGTTGAGCAGTAAAAGTTTTTTTTTTTAAAATGGATTCACAAATGTTGTTATTACGAAAAGATCAAATAATAGTACAATATTTAAAATCTATCAGTGAGTTCAGCACACAAGTTTAATTGGTTTCTTTTAACGATTTAGAGAAATAAAGATATATTTATCTAACGATATGGAATTGAAATTCTTACTATATTTTCATAATATGCAGGAATATTATTGAATTTCTTGAGGAATTTTAGTTAAAAAATCGATCAGGGACCATCTTTTAGCTGAAATTGCTATCATTTCAAGATGTTTTGCTCAGCGCAAAAATTTAAAACATTAGCTAGTTTAAATGCTACTCATATAGGCATACCAGCACTTAGTGCAATGGCAATACACTTAATTTAAAGAGAAAATGAAAACTATTTAAGCCCCTTTTAATCAATGTTTTAAGTAATACTTTTCTTAAGTGGCCAGGGCTTGTAAAATTTGGAAATTTAATTTTGTGAATTGCATTTGTAAAGTAAAAAAAGATTTATGGTCCCACATCCACTGACCCTCTCTTTATTTTATCTTTTAGTTGCCTGAAGACTATTGTTATTGGACATGTTAAAGGGCAGTAACTGACAGAAAGCAAATTAAGAATGTTACTTTTAGGGAGTTGAGATGCGTGAGACAAAAATGTATTGGAAGGGCCATTAAATTTAAATGATAATACTTTGTTTTACTTCCTTTCATACTTTATAATTATGTGTCATTTAAAAAATAGTAGAGTACTGTATATAAATAGCCTATGTTTCCATTGTTCGAAAAAGTGTTAACTTTTTGAGTGAAGGAGAACTCTAACATGGATATTTCATGAGACATTTGGCAGATTTGACAGCATTAGATTTACAGATGCTGATTAATAATTAAGTGAAGATAATATTTGGCACATAGATTCGAAAGTTAAGGAAAATCCATAAAAGCAAGACTTGTTAGTTCATGGGATAATAATTATATTTAAATTTAAGATGACATTTTGTGATGATATTAGTTCACTAGCTTAATGTTGATACAGTATAAACACCGACTGAATTAAAGAAAAGTTATAAAATGTAAAAGTGAACAGGTATCTTCAGACCGCAGTTTTTTTGTCTTATCTGGGACATTTTTTAGATAAAAAATGACCTCAGTGCCTCAATATTTACTGATGAGTTGAAGGAAAAAAATAAGAATAAAGGGTCACCTCATATAACAATTCCTTTACAACATGAAACGTTTAATACAGTTGTTATTATGGTGGATTCAAAATTATTTTCCACAATATATAACCATTTAATTTATTCACAGGATATCTCTGATGTTTTTTCTTGGCCCATTACAATTTTTGTAGTTTAAAAATTGCGGGAAGATTTTGAACAGGTATTAGATGCAGTCAACCAAAGTTTTAAAAATTTACTATGGTCCAAAGGTCAAGGTCTTTTGGTTCATGTTGTTGAAAATTGTGAAAGCAGCAGATTATGGGAATGATGACAAAAGGAGGCAAAAATAAAAAAAAAGAGGATGTTTTCTAGATGTAGATGATCAATAATGGAACCTTCAATCCTCAGTTTTACTTAAGTTGATACTTGAAACTATACGTACATGATCTTTCATTGCATAAGAAAAACAAACATTTTCAACATAGAAACTTTACTTCTTGGTGAGCCAGGAGAGAACAAATATTATTTTACAAACATTCATGCTTTTAATTAAGGCTTCATTTTCTCTTTCCAAGCTGCCATATATATATACTTATATATATATATAAATATTATCATGAGCAAGAGATAATGATATCAATGCCTAACAAAGCCTGCATACAATTCAAACAGATAAACATGCTCTGTTTGTTATCGTCCAGTCATTAAAGGTCAAGTCAGGGATAGGCCAATCCGCCGGTGCACTGGAATCAATAAAAGAAAAACAAAATTCTGTGAACAGCCAAAAACACATTATTAGAATAGAATTTTTGTTTGTTTGTTTAAATCTGAAATACTGCATTTCTAATTATTTCGATCTCATTCCAAACTCCAAACTAATTAAAATGCATTTTTTTTGTTAGAGACAATGTAAATGTAATAATCCCTTTTCTGGACACAGTTGGGCTTACACTATTGTTCCCAAAGCCCTGAGATAGAACTGAAAGAAAGAAAACGCTACGAGGCATGGATCAATAGCTTGCAGATTGGATGAATGTCTTTTCCTTGAATTTTTTTTTTTTTTTTAATTCTTAAATATATTTCTATCAAACACACTAATTGCGGCACGGCATATTTGTACAATGGGATTAAATTCAATATTCTTTTTTTTCTAAAAGACGATCATTTGAGATCAGGTTGTTGAAAATAGGACCAGGGTTCTAGTGCAACAAACAAGTAGGAGCCTTGTAAACTGATCATCAGAAACATGGCTGAACAATGTGAGTGGAACTTTCCATGGAGTTATCATTGATTATAACATCGCCTGATAGTTTGTATTGGCCTTCAGTGGAACCCTGGCAACTCAGTAGTGTGGAAACCATGATGATTGTGATTGCACCCAGGCCGCTTACGTATCTTTTTTTCTTTTTTTTTTTTTTTAGTGTAGAATAACATTTATTTTTAGTGGATTCTTCAAGTTAAAATCTGGCGAAAATTCCCAGCTGTTAACTTCTAAAACCATCGTTGGCAACTGTGGCTCATGGGGAAAAACAAAATCATCCCCCCTTCTTCGTTTGCCTTTTTTTCCTCCCGCAAGGCGATGTCTAGATGCGGAGAAATCAGAAACGCGCGAGGTCATTGCTGGAGTGACTACATCATTCCGTAGAGGGCAATGAACTTCGGACCCACATTTGGAACGCGCAGTGGTACACGTAAACGGGTGAAACCAGGCTGATGTTTTATCAGGGGATTAGAAGGACACGGTATTTTAGGATTAAAGCTAATAACATCATAGTGGTACCGGTATGGTGAGAAGTGTCGGGTGCTTTCCCAATTTAATCAACTACACAGTAGCGTAGGAAGGGGTGCGCAGGGGAGGCACATTTGTATTTGTATTTGGGAGCGGTGGGGGTGGCATTTACGGCCAACTGCGTTGAATGGGGCGGCAAAAAGGTTGGTCCGCCGCGGGAGGCCCTAAACCTATCTACTCCATGGCTACTACAATGACTACATACTGAACTTTCAACATCGCCTGCATTATTTTACATGTGATGACTATAGCAAGTCTATGTGGTTATTGAATGGTTATGCATGCAGCATCAACAGCAACCGGTGGCCGGTACTAATGCGAAGGTCTGTGAATTAGCAAATGGGACATGATTTGGTTTAAGGAGGCACCTGGATTTTTAAGTTTCATTTTTCGCCGCGTTGCATAAAACCTGGGCTCTTGTGTGTCAAGGTGAAGTGATCAAGCGTCTCTTAAAAAAAAAATAAGCGACATGGGTTTCTGAAACACCTGGTGTGTGGTTAACATTGGGGACAGGGGAAATGATGGTAGTGTAACGATTGGGCCACAATTGATCGGCATTTCCCCGTGGGTTGAAAATATCCGAACATACATTTCACCGGATCATTAAAGCCAGTGTCGGATCACAGGAGAAACAATGGAGAGGCTCCGCCCTTGAAAAAGTTAAGTGCCACGCTGTGATATAAATGATGGCATCGAATAATACATTCATTACCTCGATATTTTCGTGTATTTACCGCAAAACGTACAAGACGTACGTCCATACACCGTCTCGCCCATCAAACCCGCCCCTGTTTGAGCTGAGTAAAATTGCTAAAATCGTTAGTCTACTGTGGTGCGGCCTACATCATGCCTGCACTGGACAAAAGCTATATCGCTTTCATTTGCACGTGGCTACACACAACACTGAACTCAGATGGAGTACAGAATAACTTACAAAACAGTGGCCTATTGAGGACACATAACTGGCAGGCTTAGGCCTACATTCAAGACCATGGCAAAAAGCCAAATGATGCCTCGCAGTGCGGCCATGCACAATCCAGCATGCAGCTAAACAAGACCAAAATACTCGCAGACATGATCAAACAAACAGATTCAAATAAGACACGGCATGCAAAATGAAAGTCCATTTTTTTCATAATTAAATTATTTAAATGTCGAAATAATCATTAGACCTAATGAGCCCGTTTACAACGCTACAAACGGTTCTCACTATATGGCAGCCAATCACGCAATCAGCTAATTCTACAAGTAACAAACAAACAAAACATGTAAGACACAATAAATAGTTAATGCTTTGCACCCAGTGGCGTAGCTAGGATTACTATTTTTTTCGGAATTAAATTTTTGTCGCTCCTCTGACCACCCCCCCCCCCAGACTGTTCGGGTTGGCTGAAAATTCCTCCCTCCTTGATAAAGGAAAAAGTGCCGCCCTGGGAGAACAGCCCCTTCCGCTCCCCCTTTGTAGCTAGGATTACTATTTTTTTCGGGACTAAATTTTTGTCGCTCCTCTGACCCCCCCCCCCCCCCAGACTGTTCGGGTTGGCTGAAAATTCCTCCCTTCTTGATAAAGGAAAAAGTGCCGCCCTGGGAGAACAGCCCCTTCCGCTCCCCCTTTATATGCCAGTGTTTGCACCACAAGTTATGTCATGTTTGTGTTACATATAATGTCTCCCAAAGTCGCTTAGCCGGTGGTGACCTTGAACTTCATCGGTTTACAGGAGAGCGTCTCAAACTCTTTGAAATCATGGGGCCGCAACATAATTCTACACGTCATTACTGTTTCTCATTACACAATGTTACATAAAATAAATTCACTGGCTGCTTAAACAGGTTAGAAGGACCCCTTGCTTTACAGCAAAAAGCTTTACATCGTTGGTATGGCACCACAAGTCAAGTGTGCTTAACATAGGCATCACCGTACAATAAAGGATAACCCAGTCTAGAAATAGTGCAGAAATAAAGAGACCCAATAGACCCCCTCCCATCCTTTTTTTTCTCCCCTTACAAGGTCATATTCATATCACTTATGAATATATTGCAGTAAAAGGACAAAAATGCGTGCATCACTCTTTAGTTGCAGGCGGATTTTAAATAATAATTTCAATTTTGGCGTTTTTCAAAATTATATTTGAAAATCAAGTAGTTGAAGACTTTGCAATCTGTTCAAAGTGTGATGTAGTTAGCTGCGGTCTAAAAACGGTTTCGTCTTTTACCTCTAAATAAACTAGCATTTTAAAGCAGGCATTTTTTAGTCCTCTGTTCCAGATAATTTTTGGAGCTCAGGGGCTTTTATTTCTGAAATTTATTATATTTTCTTCAGTTCTATTTTTTTTTTTAAAATATGTAATCTAGCTTTTTCCATTTAATAATTCCCATCCAATGTTATCTGGTTGATTAAAAATGAATGTAACTAAAATCTTATAATAATTTTTTTTTCAGGTTTAAAATAAATCTATAAAAGTTTTCTAAAAATATTTTTTTTTGCTGGAACAAAAGAATATTGCAAGAGTTGAGAACAGCTCTGACTTTAAGCTCCATCCCTGCTTTAATTGAAAAGAGAAAAAAAGGTCCTATTTTTAGCCAAAAAACATTAAAAACAATGTAAAATGCTCTCTAAAATTAAGATACAAGGTTATAAATGTATAATACACTAAAAGACCTTATCAACAATTTTCTGTAAACTTACACACATTATTCTTCATTGTAAACTCATTAGGTAAACTCCACTGATCTATATAAAATGCCAACAAGGTGCAGCAAGTGTAAGGGAATGGGAAACACGATCACTTCTAACATCCATCTTAGCTCTAGCTCATAGAAGCCGATAGCAGCCCATTGCCAAACAATAAAGAAAACAACAATTGTTACTGTTAGAAAAAATTGATGACCACATTTTATGAACAAACTTGGCAATCTCAATGACATGCATCACAGTTATAAAGAAATTGAGGATATACACTAATCATATCTTGCTTGGCATTAACTCTTATTTAAAATGTGGTCAACAGACTTTTATAAAGGATTCAAAATTGAGAAAAATTTGTGAAGATTTTCAGAGACTTCAAAAGTCATTAAAAACAAGCCTTGTGTTTGAGAATGGATTAAATGTGAATATAAACTATGATTAAAAAGCTGGCATATGCACAAGAGCAATGAACATTGATGTCATAATTTTACATTTTCGCCTACTTTTTGGTAATAATTGCACAATTTAAAATGACTAATTATCTTACAATAAATGTAAAAAGTCAATAACATTTTCAGATATTAAACTTGTCACAATATTATCAATTATAAATATGAAAGAGAATTTATTTTGTGTAATTCTCATTTCCTGGAAATTCAATTATTCCATTTGAAAAAGATAACGATCTACTTTAGAAAAAAGAATAGTTAAGAAAATACAAGTAACAGATGTTTTTAAAGATAGTTAGTCTTTTTAAATACATTTTAAAAACATTTAACAAGAATCTGTCCATTCTCTTTGGTCTCATCTAATAGCTTGAAAGTTTTTTTTAACAACAAATGTCCAAATTAGTCTAAAAATGTTAATATTAAAATGTATAAGGCAACTTGTGCTAAACACTTGCTTTTTTTAAAACAGGTTGCTGTTCTCTTAACAACTAATTTTCCTTTACAGTAATTTACAGAGAATTTTCCTTTCCACCTACTTAAGGGTCTAATTTTCTAATTAAAAAAACAATTGTCTAATAATGCATTAGCTGCCCATGATGATTTATGAACTTTCCAATGAGGTGCATGCACAGAACATGAAAGAGCAAAGCTGTTGAGCAAAATGTATTACATTTCTACAGTAAACGCTTACATAGAACTTTCCCCAAGTACCTGTTTATAAACATTGAGCTTCTTGTCTGAGAGCTTAATTTCTTAAACTGTCCCTGATTAATATAAGGTTCAGTGGTCAGACACAGTTGATTATTTATTTATTTAAACTAGCCATTCCTGAGTGACATCACAAATACAAACAAAAATAATAAAATATAATTTTTTTAAAATACTGAATAGTTAAAATTGACAATAATAAATCTAAAACACATTATATTATTGCCAAAGCTGTATTTTTTTCGGATGTGAATTTCAATCAGATTTATTTTGCAGAAAAATTCTGAATGGAAATCTCCTGGCCATGTATATTCATCAAGTCATCTAATCACATGTTATAAAAAGTTACAAACAAGAGGTCCATAGCAAAGGAAGACTATGTACAAGAAAGGATAATTAAGTATTATGGTGTAGGAAAAACATAAGTTTCACAAAATTGTGTGCAATTTATCAAAATTGTTTTGCCATTTGGAATATCAGTCATCATAACTTGGGTGTAGTGTAACTTAGAATTTACAGTACTTGCACATAATTTGATTGCTTATTGAGTAACTTTAAGTTTGTAGTGAGATTATCTGCAAAATTAAAAAAAACTAACATCCTTTTATTACAAAATTCTGCTGCAGGTGACATAAAACTGATGTGTTTATGAACAAGAGCTGTTTAAGATGCAGGTAATTTTTTGAAAATGTTGCTAGAAATGACAAGAGGGCTGAGCTGAACATATATGAAATTATTTCATTAAGAAATATATTTTAAAAATAAAATAAAACTTAGTTTTCAGTAGTTAATTGTTTTAGTAATGCATGTTTTTATTATACAGCTAGTGGATTCTAACACCTTTGTTTATTTGTGTTGTTGCATTAATTCATTTCCCTAAAATGGTATTATTCTGCATGAAATGAGCATGAGAAAAAACACTTTAAAAAAAAATTATTTCATGAATGTTCATAAATTATTACTACAAAAAATATGCAGCCTCAGGTGTATCAAGGCAATTTCGTGCAATGAAGTCCATTTTGGACCACCAAAAAAAAAACAAAAACAACAACAAAAAACACATTTCTTTTTTTAAAAAAACAGTGAAAGCCCAGGAAAAAAAGTTTGGCATTAAAAAAAAAATCCACCATGTAACTTATTTTTTTTTCAGACCAAGAATTAAATGTTATCAAATTTATAAGTGATCAACATAACACAATGTTTGAGAATGCCATTAAAATTTATGGTCTGTATTTGAGATTGTTATTGAACACTTCTTGAACAATCTCCAGCCACAGTCCAGTCAATATTGAAACAACATTTATGTACAAGTGATTTTTTTCCCCCGGGAAAAGCCTTCAAGCAGTAAGATTAGTAATGTTTTATGAGTTGTAGGCTATCTGTGAGCTTTGTGCATTCTTGTAAAATAAATGTCTGATTCTTGGATGTTTTAAAATTGTATTTCTTGGAACTTGGCGGTACCAGATAGTAAAATGTCCATTCCCAGTTTTTAATATATTGACTGATGAAAGATCTCTAAGAGATTTCAACATCCACAACTATGGGGTCTTTACTTTTATGAACTAGCGGAGTCTGAGATGTAGCAGAACTGGATGAAGATGTGGAAGCCGTCCGCTCAGACTCTCGCAGTTCACAATCTTGTTGTTCTGTAATAGTTGAGACTGTCTCTGTATTGCAGACATGATAATTGTCCCCAATAGGCACTATGTTGTATGATTTGCTGCAGTAAGTGCAGTTAATGACCTCATCAAATGTTTCACTGAGGTCTGAAGCCAGTTTGGAGTACAGAACTGGGCGAAAAGCTTTATCTGCCATTATAAGACACATTAAATAGTTTTTAATTGTGTACATTCTGATCATTTCATCTTCATCTACAAAACTTTCTAGTAAATAATTTTCATAAATTGAAAAAATGCGGTATGGCAGCTGGCAAACCGTGAAAACAATAACAATGGAAGTTACCAGCCGAGACTTTTCCTTTTCTCTTCGTGAGTAACTGTCTGAAAAATACCGCTTGCCCATCAGATAGGTCATTATGTAGGTGAAGGCGACAAGAAGTATGGGAATGAATGCTGCAAATGAGTGGACAAGCCAAGCGTCAGAGATGATGTCCCTAGTCGAATCAACTTGACAAAAGCCGTCATTAAAAGTATAAATCTGCATTATGGGGATGGAGGCAATCAGGGCAAGGCCATAAGTAACGAGAGTGACAACAAGCAGATGGACACTGCGGGGTTGACTTGTGATGTTTCTGTTGGTCAGCAGGATGCTTCGCAGAATAGCAAGCGCCACAAGAAGATAGGCGGTGATGAAACTGCAAGCGTTACTAACGTAGGTGCTTCCCCTGCACCAAAATAACGAGTTAACTTCCGTAGCCTCCAGCATGTCAATGATGTGGGCGGGCACGCTGATGACAAGAAACAGGCAGTCTGCTATGCTGAGGCCACCAAAAACAATATAGAACTCTGTCCTCAGTTTGTGGTACCTGATCAAGGCCCTGAGCATCAGACAGTTTCCTATCAGTCCCACAAGGCCTATCAAGCCCATGAGGATAGACGTAACCAGAATGTCTTGTGTTAAAACACCCATGGCGCCTGTCATCATTTTTCACAGGGCTTTGCATCCACAGCTCTTACTTGAAAGGTATGCAGGTTGATCAAACTTTGAGTGATTTTTGTGTCGATTGCATCACGTGTCCAATGCATTCAAAGACTTTAATGGAAATTTTAATTCTTTCATTATACTTCCATTTTGATCACAGGATATTTCAGGACCTCATCTAGAAATATAAAAAAAAAAATATTTAAAAATACTATTATTAGAAAAAAAAAAGTTGGAACATAGTATTCTGCAAGTGAACAAAAAAATCAAGATCTCCACCCCCGTGAGTGATAAATGTGCAAGAAGGTTAGTGTTAAGGACTTCAAATGTATATCGTGATTGAGTGTTGTTTAGAGAGCATATGTTTTGCTTTATCTCTTATGTTTAGTATTTTGTGACGTATTTTGTGGGAAGGGGAAATGACGTATGGTAGTTGAGAGGGTTGTTGTGATCGAGTAATGCCAGTTGACGATTTTATTTAGTTGTGAAATAAAGATACTGTATTCTAATAATCAGTGGTTTGTGAAGTTAATATAATTAACCCCTAGACAAAACGTAGCCATCGAACATTTGGTAGAATCGGTTCGTAACCGTTAGCCTTCATAAATTATGGATTTATTGAAACCTAAAGAATCTATGACATAAAAAATTAAGAAGCATGGGTGTCCAGTACCAGCTAGGGAGGTGTGAGTTAAATATGTTGAGAAGCATTGGTGTCCAGTACCAGCTAGAGAGATGTGAGTTAAAAAAGTTGAGGAGCTTGTGTGTAAAGAAAGAAGAAGCAACAAAGACGTTCACAAAATTATGTTTTATTCGATCTAGTGAATTTTACACCTTGCTAACCTAAATTAAAACACGCATGCTGTGCACTCACGCGATCTGATGCGTTTTCCCTTTACCAACAATCACATCCTCATAAGGATGTATTTCAACGCAAATTATATATTGCTACGGTCAACCGCGGCTCATCCAACAACCCCTTGTTCAGTGGGCTACTTGAAGCTGAATAAGTTCCTAGCCATTAAATCCAATATAAGTTGGCGTCACAGTTCTCACAGTCGCCCTCCGCAGCTCAACCTTAGCGGACTAACCCAGACTTGGTTGTTGTTAAGTGTGTCAGTGTAGCCAACAGTGTCACACAAACTGGCATTTGAGGTGCTTCCTCGCCTCCCCTTTCCTGGACACTTTACTACGACCTGTGACTCTTTTTCTTTTTTAAACCTCTATTTAAATAACATTATTGTGATAGTTGTGCAAAAATGGCAACAATTTCGCATTAAAAAACTCCACACGAAAAAAAGTGTCCTACAAAAGTATCTGCTAAATTATAAAAGATAAACGGTGACCCATTTTATTATTTGCAGGGCAAGCGAAGGCCAAAGTAAGGGATCCATTAAGTCTAGTGTATTGCATACCAGTAACATGAGAATGATATTACACAAGCAGAAAACAACATCCCCTTTACAGCTAACTTTGACAATATACGCACAAATATGAGGCTGACAGTACTCGTACAAACCGATTAACAGTGTTTGCACACAATGAGGTTAACAGTACATATAATCAAACTGAGGCGTAATGATGCTTGCAATATTTAGGAACCATTTGCACAGAATGGAGGGTGAAAGACGGTTGGAAGATACAGAATACTAGGTCACCATTTGTTTACTGCGCATTGTGCCAGCTCCATGTTACAGCTCTGATACTGCTAACAATGACAGGGTCAGGTTGTCAGGCCCGTGTCTGGCACTACGCATACCTGCAGGCATGATGCTAGGCCCATGTGTTTGGTACTATGCGTACCTGCAGACAGATTCCTAGACCCGTGTGTCTGGCACTACTACACGTACCCGCAGACAGATTACTAAGCCCATGTCTCTGACAATAAGTGGTACCTGCAGATTAGGTTGCTGGGCTCGTGTCTCTAGCAATATATATATATATATACACCTGTAGAAATTTGGAACGATGTTTTGACTAAGCTTTTTACCCCCCCCCCTCCCCCCATTAAAAAAAAACAACAACAACGTTTTCCACGGAAAAGAAACCTTTAAAAATGCCGCCTTCAGTGAAAGAAAAAGAAGTGGCGCCCGTGGCTGGCCGCCCACTCCACACACCGTTCCTAAGCTACTGACCAGAGGGCTGGGCTGGTCAGTAGTACAGAGGAGGAGAATACGGCTAATTTAAACTGATCGACGAGACCCTTGCAGGTGCATCTAGAAAATGCAGAAACAAATTATAAGGTGCTAAGAGTTCAATAGGAATAATATCGATTAGTAAACATGTTCGTGGCAATAAGTTTGATAAATGAGCCTGATGATAAGGCTTGTAAAATTACATCTATGCACGTCCCGTTTCTGCATCTCTTGAACCAAAATATCAATAGAGGGTTATGATTTACGCACTGCGTCATTGCGTATCTTACTAAATGACACCCGATGCGCACTCCCAAAAGTGCGCCCCCTTAACACTTACACCCATGATGTCATGTATAAATCACACAGGTGGTCACCCCCTTCACACACGTAGTTGCGCCAATTGATGTACGTAGATAGCTGAAGTTACAGTTTTAATAAATATGTAAGTCTTTCTCACGTAATTTCAGATAAATTGACACATTTATTATTCATTTAATCAAGCAGGTGAACAAAAGTTAATAATATGACATCGTTTTATCATCATCATCAGTGGCGCTACAGCCCATGTAGGGCCCTGGCCTGCTCCACCCTATACTTCCTTTCTGAAAAATCCATGGCTTTCCGACTCTAGCTGATGTAAGTCCTCTTCTTCTTCTATAAATTAACGGCCCACGATCAATGTATTGATCATTCTGGCTTCTATGCACGTAGAAGGGATTAGCAAGTTTCCGTGCCTGCTGTTAAAGAGGATGTTTCTCTGGTTGCAAGGGCTACTCAGTGAGGGTATCGTGAGCTGGGAGTTGGAAGGCCTGAAACAATAGACGTAAATGTTTCAAGTGTTTTCGCCCCAACTTTTTTCTTTTGGAAGCTTGTTCCGGTCCCTGATTGTCTTTAGCAGGAATGAGCATCTCAGTCTTGGTGGACCGGTGAGCCGTCTGCCCCTAGGTTTCTGTCTGAAGACCACTTTTGGTGCTCTACAATGCGGCACCCTCTCAAAGTGTCCTGTCTAGCGCCAATTGACTTTTTTAAATGTTGCAACTGTGGGTGGGTATTCGAACAATCGATATATCTCTTGGTTTTTACGGATTCTCCATTCATCATCGTCTATCACCGGACCGTATGTTTTCTAGGGGGTTTTTCTTCCCATGACGTCATTTCAACTTCATCAAAAAATTAACTGTGAGGTGTCACCGCCGACACCAAGTATACAATTATATATATGACAAAAGGTCTATAACCAAATTTAACAATTTGTATAAAGCTATAAGGAGTTTGGCTGCTCTTTCCCTGGCCGCTCTTTCCCTTACACAGCATAGAGTTGAATTTGTTTAGATCTTCCCCTGGGCATCTCCACGTTACATGGGAGTGAACATCATAATATATAACTAGGCCTATACTATAACCCAGATTTTATTTAGTTGATCTATTGCTAACCATATTTATATTTCTTCAGTTCTACTTTGTAACTTTTAATAATGAACTTTAAATTTGATAACTGGCAGAAGACCATCTACAAAACTCTCTGTTTGCTCCACTCATATCAATTATAAACCAATTTGAAAACGGACATTGCTAGATACTACCTTAACACAATATCCATGGGAGCTCTAATCCAGCGTTCCCCAAACGGTGGTCCGTGTACCGGCACCGGTCCGCAAGCCTTAAGTTACCGGTCCAGAGAGCATGAATATTGGTGTTTAAATAGAAAGAAAATGTAATTAATAAATCTGGCACCGGTCCCTGGTGCAGTTTCGAAACTTGTCCACCGGTCCGTGAAACTTAAAAGTTTGGGAAACGCTCCTCTAATCGATCAGAGCTGGGGGTTTGCCAAGACTTGGTCAATATTTTGTGGTTTAAATCTGGTCATGGGCAGACTTCCCCATGACCAGTTATGCAAAGTTAAAATAGTAAAATTAATGAGTTTGTTTTGAAAATCTAGACATTTTTTGTTTGTTTAATAAATTCACACCTAATCAAGGAAAACATTCCACAGATGATGATATTATATATTGCCCACTTTGCAGTAATGAAGACAGATCCACAGATCATGATATTATATATTGCCCACTTTGCAGTAATGAAGACAGATCCACAGATCATGATATTATATATTTCCCACTTTGCAGCAATGAAGACAGAGCCACAGATCATGATATTATATATTGCCCACTTTGCAGCAATGAAGACAGATCCACAGATCATGATATTATATATTGCCCACTTTGCAGCAATGAAGACAGATCCACAGATCATGATATTATATATTGCCCACTTTGCAGCAATGAAGACAGATCCACAGATCATGATATTATATATTGCCCACTTTGCAGCAATGAAGACAGAGCCACAGATCATGATATTATATATTGCCCACTTTGCAGCAATGAAGACAGATCCACAGATCATGATATTATATATTGCCCACTTTGCAGAAATGAAGACAGATCCACAGATCATGATATTATATATTGCCCACTTTGCAGCAATGAAGACAGATCCACAGATCATGATATTATATATTGCCTACTTTGCAGCAATGAAGACATATCCACAGATCATGATATTATATATTGCCCACTTTGCAGCAATGAAGACAGATCCACAGATCATGATATTATATATTTCCCACTTTGCAGCAATAAAGACAAATCCACAGATCATGATATTATATATTGCCCACTTTGCAGCAATGAAGACAGATCCACAGATCATGATATTATACATTGCCCACTTTGCAGCAATGAAGACAGATAATTTTTTTCCCTATACCGACAAACCATTTGATATAATTAACCACAGCTTTACTCTTGGCCCTTGATCAAGACAACACTGTTTCCACAGACGCAGAAAGAAATGTTGCCGTGTCATAGAGATACGCGTGTTGCAGCAGATTTCACATGGCATCCACACGTCCTTCCACTTGTTTTACCAATGGCAAGTAAGCTTTATTGAAAGACTTTTTTTGTTGGAACCAAACACGTAGGTTTTTGGACTGTTTGCTACTGCTTATTGTTTCTTCTTTTCTCCTGTCTGCTGAAAAA